CAAGCACTGGACCAGGCTGCCCAGAGAGGTGGTGGGGTCCCCATCTCTGGAGGGGTTCAAAAAACGGGCAGAGGTGGCACTTTGGGACATGGTTTAGTGGGCATGGGGGTGTTGGGTTGATGGTTGGGCTGATGATCTTAGAGGTCCTTTCCAACCTTAATGATTTACTTTCATTAAAAAATAATGCAGCCACCAAGCCAGGAAACGTGAAATTAATTACGACTCTGCCCTTAATTGTTTTAGTGGTGGAGTTGGCAGTGTTAGGTTAATGGTTGGACTGGATGATCTTCAAGGTCTTTTCCAACCTAAACCATTCTATGATTCTATGATTATTGGCTTTCTCTTTGTTACTGGTTCTTGTCAGGAGAGAGGCCTGGTTTTCCCTTTAACAGGGCCTGAAATAAATCTTTATTTGATTTGAAAAAAACCTCTAAAAGAAAACCAGAACGATGTCAAACATGTTTACGACCCAAACTGTAGCTCCTAGACAAGGCAGAGTCTTAGGAGTAGCACATTTTGTATTGCAACAGCACCCTAGAGGCACAGCTTGTGTTTTCAAACGCCAGGCGTGTTTCAAAGCTTTTAAAAATAATGTACATCCTGACACTGAAACAGCAGGTTTAGCCAAATCCCGAATTATTAAATAAAAGAAGAGGTGGGGAACAGAGCCAAGCCCTCCTACGGGGTGTGCAACGTAGGAGAGCTGCTCCCAGGGTCAGGACGGGGCCTTGGCACCACTGCGTGTGCTTGACCCTCCTCTGAGGGTCCTGCCTTGTCCCACCGCCAACACCTGGCCGGAGGCAAACAGCCCCCCTCGTTTTTCCCCCAAATACGGCTCCTACCGCAAATCCAGCGAGTGCCGTCCTGCCGGCACCTTGCAAAGCCCTGCGTGCAAATCCCTCCCGAAACGCTGCCGCTCACCCTCGGACGGGGTCCACTGCTTTTTGGGTTGGAGCGTGTTTGTGCGGAGCACCCCCCGCCGCTCGGAGCCGTCCAGCCGGGCTCTCTCGATCTTATCCAGGCCGCTGTCGGTCCAGAACATGTCTCGGCGCAAGTGGTCCACCGCCAGCCCCTCGGGGCTGATGAGCCCTGCGGAGGGATGG